AATTATTCAATGCCGATTTCGACCATCCCGACCTTCTATTTTATGTACGGGTCCCCTGTGAGAGGTCTGACAAATGATCACCTTCGATCAGTAGTTTTTTAGTTAATGTATATAATCATGAAGAAAAAAAATCGCCCAAATTTTTGTTTTAGTTGATCGCACTTTAGATCTAGGTGTGCGATGTAATCTAGTATGTCATTGGCCTGTAGCATATTTTGTGTCTCAGGGGCGTAGCGGGGGCAGGAGAACATTATGTGTTCCGTGTTTTCCCTTATTCCTATGCACCGCGAACAGTATGGGGAGTCATTATGCCGAAATTTGTTTCGATAACCACGATAAAGACCGTGGCCCGATAGAAACTAGGTTAGCTGAAAACTACACTCTCCGTGAGACCTATTAAGCCTTTTTCAACGTTGGGGATGAGCTTGTGGGTCCACCTCCCTTCTTCTGAGACGTTCCATCGTTTATGCCAGATTACCATAGAACGACTCCTTTCTTCTGCAGCTGTTTTCTTTCGCGTTAGACCATCGTTTTTCTCGGACAGGTGATTATATTTTTTCTTTTCAACTCTTGTGCGAGAAAGTCTACTGGGACCAGTCCAGTGCACTTAAGCGATACATGGTTGTTAGTTTCTGTGCATAACATTTTACCTTCATTACTCGGAGCAGCATAAATAAAACTGAGCTGACCACCCTAAAGTAAAGGATTCTTCTACTATGTTTAGGACCGCCGTTATTAGACATAATTCTAGACAGACATGCTTAAACATTCGAAGCCTTTTCGGAAGTATACTCAATGTGGGTCCTGAAATTTAGTCGATTATAAATCATAACGGCCAGATATTTAATTGCAGGCTTGGAAGTGATGGATTCGGACCCTACGCTAAATCTTATCGTTTCTACGGCTTCCATGCTGATTATTAGAACTGCCTCTGATTTCTAATCCGCGAGGCTTAAATTCCTATACGTTAGCCACTTTTTTATACTCCTCATAGTCTCGCTAGCTTTACTCTCAATCTCCTGGATATGCTTCGCTACAACCACCACTGCAATATCATCTTCGCATTCAACTATCTTTGTAGAGGGGACATATCGATACGCAGGATGCCGTCATACATTCGATACCAAAGCAGCGGTCCGAGATGTCCTGACGCTGTATTCCTCAGAGCCCCTATCGCTCCAGTACTTTAGCTTGCAGTGTGATATATAGCTCCTAATTATTCTTATGATATATCTTGGAGCTCCCATTTTAATGAGCATTTCCATTATGCGCTGCCAGCTCGAGGTATTAAAGGCGTTCTTTACGTCCAACGTTGTTACCGCGCAGTACTCAGTTTCCCTCCGCGCAACGTTTGCCATCGATGGCCTCTTTGGTAATGCGTCTATGGTCGACCGGGAGCTCCTTGAGAAGTGAATTTGTTCATTCGTTGAAATGAAGGAATCTACAAAAGCACTATTAATTGTATATCTACTTCTAGGGAAATTTTTGTAATTGGCGCAACCTTGATCAAAAGAGTCTCTTAAGCAAGCTAAGAGCCTTATTATACTCAAGTGTAAATTAAGCGTAGATCAGGAACAATTCCAGCCCGTCTTGTTATTTAATTGCAAAAGCTCGTAAAAAAAATCGCATATAAAAGGAAATATTGAAACCTAAAGAAAAGAGGCGTTGAATTTTGTGAAACTTTTATTATCTTCACATTGACTGGCTTCCGTTTCAGTTTCTAGAACACGGTACGACGATATTGAAGTGCGTACATACATATGTACATATTTTTTAATAAGCAAGCTTACCTTTGAAATGTGTGCTGTTATTTTAAGCATACATACTTACATCCATAAATACCACATTTATACGTACATATGTACATATGTATAAACATGTTTTAGCTTCAATTAACAAGAAAAGATTTTCAAGAGACTTTTGCTGTCATTGCTCAGCATCCTTGTATCCCTTAGATTTACCAACATAAGCTTGCAGCAACATGTGTACATACTTATGTATGTATACTTAACTGCTCTTCATAGATGAGTAGTACATTCATCACGTGTCACAATTTAAGAAAGCAAAAATTTTAATAAAATTAAATGTACTTATGCACATACATAGCTACCTACATACATACAAACGTGCTTATGCATGTATTCATTATACAAAACAAAAATGTGTCAAAAAGGTCCTTAACTTCAGTCGCGGAAAAAATTACACAGGTTGAAATCGCTATTTAACTCACGGACATTGACTTTTTCGTAAGCATAAGTATTTACATACATACATACATATTTATGCCGATAAATTGTGTACAAACATACATACATATTTGGCACCACTAAACTCAAGAACGTTTTATTTCTTTTGTGTAATGCTGTAGAAAGATTGCCAAATGGCTTAAACGGGTTTTCAAGAAGTACAATATAAGTGTATGTATCAACTTGCACTTTATACGAGCGTACAATTGCAATTTATGGCCGAGTGTTCTTTGGCTTAACACATCAGTTTTGGGCTTTGAGTTAAATACAAAAACTAAGTGACAAAAAGCGTTTTGTCGTCTTCTTTATTGCCGCTATAACAGGCTAAGTGATTTTGGCCGAATATACACTGCCGGCAAAAAGTAGTGGGACAGATGCTTTTCTTACAATATATGCAACAATTTTTATTGTAATATTTTTCCGACAATTTTTTATAAAAATTTGGTTCATTCCACAACAAAACACATAAAAATATAACTTTGTGCGAAACTAGCGAAAATTCAACTAATTTTCATGCACATTTTCAACTTTTTTTAATACAATTTTTTAGAATTTTTTTCGGTATGCAGATTTGTAGCCCAATCCATTTTATTGTAACAAAATAGAAATTCTAAGTAGCTACGAATTTTTGGCAATTTTTTTCTCGCAGTCTCTTCCATACAAACAATTTTTTCGAAAATACTTTATATGGAAAAAATGCAAACCACCTTCAACAAAAAAATTCTCAAAAATCAATGCGATTTTTGACTACTACTACTACGAACTCCTTCCGAAAATCTGATTAAAAAGTTGAAAATTTGCTGAATTTTCGCGAGTTTTGCACAAAGTTCTTCTTTAACAAAAACCGTGTAAATCTAAGTTTAAATGTGCAATATTAAGAAAAATCAACAAACTTTGGTAAAAATTTCGAGCTTTTTAATTAGATTTTTTAGAAATATTTTGAGTGTGCAGTGTTGTAGGCCTCTCAATTTTAGTATAAAAATGCGCAAGTTTAAAGAAGCTTAGACTCACCGTTGATTTTTGGTCATTTGTGGACGATGCCAGTCATTTTCTTCCATATGAAGTATGTTCGACGATTTTTTTATGTGGAGAAAATAAGGAGCACCTTGAACAAATTAAAATTGAATGGGCTACAACACTGCATCCTCAAAATATTACTAAAAAAAAAATTTTTAATTTAAAAAGTAATAAAGTAAATAGTCAAATTTTGTTAATAAGTGCCGTAAAGCTGAAAGCTGGAGTGGTGATTATTATTTTCCAATGTAAATTAAGGGTGAAAACGGATTTAAAGGTTACGCAGAGGTACTATTTTCAGTCATTACGACGCTTAAGACGTCTTGTGAATATCCTAATTATTTTTACAATACTGTGTTATCTGTTGCACACTTCAAACACGGTACACACCCTGCAGAAAAAAATTATCAATTGATAAAAAATAACTAGCTTATAGTTAGCTTTTTGTGGGATTTCGATAAATACCTCACTTTTAACTTAAATTGAGTTGTAAAGTCATGAAGGAGACATGCAGACGTTATCGGGAATTTGTTTTCTTTACAAGTTTCTATTTAACAAATGTCTTACAAAAATACACCTTTTTCTGAACTTCTCAGAAGCCTTTTCGAATTCAGGACAAATAAAATGAAGGTCGAAATTTTATATTTTAATATTTTGGCGTTTTGTCTGACGGAATTCTAATATGGGACCACCTAGAGCAGAATATGTAAACAAATAAAGAAATAATCAGCCTTATCATGAGTTTTTTTTCCCCGAACCGTTTCGCTTTTCACTTTTGGTTTCCATGGTTTTACTATGGGAGAATGACATCCCAGTGGCAAAAGTAGTAATGCATTCCATGCGTGATACATAATCGAATGTATTTCTTATGAGTTTTAAATACAATTATTGTTTAATATGTAATCAGCATTCTAATGTACTCAAAATGTCCCAAAAATTTCATATTAAATCACATTAATTTCTCGATACTAGGTAATGCAAAATTGAATGCCCCACTTTTCTTAGGACATCGCCCTGGGGAAAAAATGCATTTTCGATTGTGAAAAGGGTTGTTTTACTGATTATTTTTTCGATTACTATACATTACATTTTCCACTGGGAAATTTCGGGTAAATTTTTTTTTCTCAGGCGAAACTCAGGATAAGGCAGAATATGTAATTTAAATGAAGTAAATAAATAATCATATAAAAATTTAAAAAGTTGTTCCTTCTTATTGATATACATATTATGTCCAAAAGTAGTTAGTTACAAGTTAGTTGAAACCTAATGCAGAAATAACCAGTTCTCGCTTTTCTGCGGACAAAGTTACAACAAGCAGACAGCTGGGTGGTTAAAGGTTAGCTACAAGCTAACACAAAATAATTTTCCAAGGCAATATAATGTCCTTGTCCTTTTCCGTGAACCACTTCCGCTATGCATAGTTCTGTGCATACATGCATGTGGTTGTATGTGCATATACATACATATGTATGTGTATGAGTACGATGTTCTGCGGCCTTCGACTTTCTTCGATGTGCGTAACAACGAGACCGTGGGAAGCAATAAGCCAGTTCTAGGCCATTTCCATGGTCAAATAAATACGGTTGTGTTATGAGGCTTACTGTCATTTAATTGGGCATAGTAATGCGCTTTATATTTGTACATACTTAGATATACATAAGTGTGTACAAGTATCTACTTGGGTATTATATGTCTGTATGCACTTATTGCCTAATTATTATTATTTTTATTTCTTTGCAGTTACTACATCAACTATTTTACAAAAGCAATGCAGCTGGAGGATCCACGTTCGCGTTATAAGCAATTGCAGAATGAACGCTGCTCCAACGAATCCATAGCAATGCAGGTAAAATAAATGCTTGCATATATGTATGTATGTATGTAACGAGTAGCTATGTATTCCTTTATGTACAGTAGTTTGTATGTATGTATTACTCGATTTGATTTCACTATGCGCTTTATTTTGTAAATTATCCTTTTCGCCGCTACCGGTTCACCCTGTATGTGTTTTTGTACAAATTTATTTGTACAGCCAGTACAGCATGGCTCACCCTATCATGTGTATCCAAGCAACAATTTGCCTGCAGTGCGTGCTTTTCAGGCGGGCCCTGGCACAAACACAAGTTTGCATAATATGTCCTCCAGTCCTTTGCTGTCTTCTCGTGGGAATTTGGTGAGTTTCTAAACAACAGCTATGCACTTAACGTGTATTATTATATTTTATGATTAACATTTGTTAAAATATATACCTACTTTGCATTGCAGGAAATGTCGCCGTTGCCATTGCCACGCTCCTCTTTGACGCAAACTCCACGCTTGGGCAATATGTCACGCCGTTCAACCATACAGGAGACTTCCTTTACAAATCCCATCGAAACAGATGCGGTGGTAAATAAAATACAGAATATATTTCCAACCGCCAGCGAGGATCATATACGTCTGCTACTTAAAAAGTAAGTCCGTGGCGAATATTTTGAAAATCGCTAAAAAAAAACAATGTTTCATTGTACTAATCACACTAATCTTTCGCTTTTACACGCTTACCGCCGCGTCGTTTGCAAAACTTTCTGTGCTGTTAACCTCCACTACCGCTATCACACTAAACTCACACACACACACACATGCACTGTCTGTCTATAAATGTAAAAAAAAAAATAAAAATACTAACAATTTCCACTAAACGCTATCGTATTGTATTTTTACACTCACACAAATGCTAACACACACAATGCACAGGTATTACAATCGTGAAGCTGTCGTCATAAGCGCTTTGCAAGTGGAAAAGCATCCGGTCACCATGCCTGGCCCATATGTAACACCGCCTGCCCAACGCCATCTCTATCACAGCAATTCCGCTTTTCATATGACACCACCGGCACGTCGCCTGGATAAGGGCATAGCGGCACGCAACGTTGGGCCCTTTGCTGGTCTCAATGGTAGCGCTGGTGTTAGCTGTACTTCGCGCACAGCCAGTCCCATACCGGGTGGCGGTCGTTTTGGTAGTGTCACAAGCGTGCATGGTGGCGTTGGGGGCGGTTATGGGGGAGGTGGTGGTGGTGGTGGTTATATGGCTGCAGCTGCTGCCGCAGCTATGCCGTTCCATCAGGGTTCGCCACGTTTCGAACAATGGCGCAGTTCTCCGAAGCCGCACACGTCGCCAAAGATGAAATTAAGGTCCGACAATGGGTTTAGAATACCTACATATATAGTATTTCTATTAGAATAATTTGCTTTTACATGCATCAATGTTATGCGTTTTATTTTTAAAATTTCGGTTGCGCTTTTATGATTTTTTTCATTTGCTGGATGTGGTACAAGAATCCAACGCTTATATTTTTTGTACTTCTATGCTTTTGACTAGCCTTATTTCGGAAGTTTTTTTTGCCATAGAGGCTGTTAGTAACTCCTGTACTTAAATAATATTTTAGCTCATATCCAATTTTACTATTGGTATTTATGTACATATGAAGTCGACTTATACTAGACAGGACGTATGAGTGATCTATCGCTTAAATTGGAACTCCACCCTAAGCTTTTCTGGCGTTAAGCGCTGTTGAGGCTTTCAGAGCTTTATTCAGCTCAAAGCTTATGAAGTCTAAAAGTGTTCTAAAAAGCTTGGCGTGGAGTTCTACGCTTGCCGATGTGAGAATGAGCACTTCCCCATCCCTTCAGGAAAAGATTCCAACTGACAAGTCACAATGAAGCGTTGATCTAATCCACTGATGGGCACTGCCTTGCCCGCGGCCAAGAGATAGAACGGACCGATTCTGATGAGCTTATAAGTCATCTAAAATTAAAAAGCGGTGCCTCTATGCCTTTTTTGCATGTCAAACATTTAGAATTAAAAAATGAGATACCTTAAGTCCGTTCTAGGTAATGTTCTTAAAAAAAGCAAAAATTATGCTAAAAGTTACAAAATATGGCGCCAATCATTTTAAAGTACAGAACCGCGTATCAAGAAAATGCAAAACCGCGTATGTGAGGTTGCATAAATTATTTTCTAGAGAGTAAAAACACTCATATTTCAAAATGGTCCTCTTTTTTGTAAAGCAATCGCATTTCTGGCAAGTATATTTGAGGACGAATGGATAAGGCTTGAGCCAAGAGCTTCGGTGAGCAAATCCAATTTTTGGCAGTAAATGTCAGTTACGCGGTTTGGAGGAATGACGATACGCGGTTTTGTACTTTAAACGACGATATGTGTGTATACATATATAAAAGAAAAGCATGATTCTACTGTATTAGATTAAAATTAATGACAATTATTATTCAAAATGACATGGAAAATGCCATGAATCCAGGAAGCTTTTGACTTTACAACTTAGATCTACGAAATATACACATCTTGACTTTTATTTAGACTTAATAGTTTAAAAATTTTGTTTATTTTAATTACTTTATTTTCCTTTTCAACGTTTTATATTTTTATTTATTTTTAATTTTATTTTGTTTAATACTATTTATTTTATTTTTTTATTTTATTTTAAACATTTTGTTATACTTAATTTTATTTCATTTTATCTTAGTAATTTTGTTAATATTTTTTGTTAAAATGTTTTTATTTCAATTTATTAATTTTTTTAAACTTTTGATGTTTTTATTATATTTTTTTATTTTATTTCATTTATCTTTTTTTATATTTGATTAGACAGCAAGTTTTTGACTTTGCAACTTAGATCTACGCAATATAAACATCTTGACTATTAGACTTAAAAGTTTAAAAATTTTGTTTATTTTAATTACTTAATTTTCTTTTTTAACGGTTTATATTTTTATTTAATTTTAATTTTATTTTATTTAATACTATTTATTTTATTTCATTTTAAACATTTTGTTATCCTTAATTTTATTTCATTTTATTTTAGTATTTTAATATTTTTTGTTAAATTTTTTTTATTTCAATTTTTGATGTTTTTATTATATATTTTTATTTTATTTCATTTATTATTTTTTTATATTTTTATACATACATATATATATTTTATTATTTTTTATCTTATTTAATGTTTTGTTTTTTAATTTTTATTTCATTGTATCATTATTTTTATTTTTATTGAATATTTTTTTTTTATTATATTGTTTTATTGATTTTTATATTGTTTTATTGATTTTTTTTTTTATGTTATATTAATTTCATTTTATTTAATTTAGGGCAGTTCCATTTTCTTAATTCTTTGTAACACACCTTTGTGTACTCAAAGGCGAATTTTATCCAAAAAGCTCCATTTTGAAGCCTGATTTTTACTATACGCTTTCGTTTTCATAAAAATTTAGGCGTATATAATCTTCATAGGAATACTTAAAATTGTGACTGATGTAAGTAAGTACATACATATGTAGTAAAAGCTTCCATTTACAGAAAGTAGAGCTTCTATTAATTTTTTTAAATATTTTTCAACAGATTAATGAAAGGTAGGCATTTAGCAGAGGTTACTAATGAAATAGGGATAATTAAGGCATTATAAATGTATCTAATTTTCCACTTCAACATGGAATGACCCTCTAGTTTTATAATTTTAATTAAAAAAAATTTTTTTTCTTCACTTTATTATATGTATGTATGTACTGAGCCTTTACAAAAATGGTAGCTTATTATAGCTTCTATTTATTTTTTTAGTATTTTTCAACAGATTAATGATTTATTTAATTTGATTTTATATTAGTTTTTCTATGTAATTAACATATTTTTTACATGTTTTATTTTTGAGCAGAAAATTATTATTTTTTCGTATTCTCGCAACTTTAAATTCTGCAATACTTGCCATCCACCAAAAATAAAACAGATTACGCTTTCCCTTTCCTCAGATACTTGAAAACCATTTTCCCCAAAGCAGATGAAATGGTTCTCTTGGATATACTCGCCAGCTCCGATAATAATGTACAAACAGCATCAGAGAAACTCATTTCCATGGGCTATACAAAACGTGATTTTATACCACCAAAAACCACACATCGCTTCGATGCAGAGCATGCACATGCTGGGGCGGTCAAAAAGCCTGGCGATGAGACGATTATACCACTGCGCCCGAAAGAGTACACGATCGAGGAGAAGGCAGCAAGTAAATATTTTTTATACACTAAAAACTTATTTTTTTAGATGATTTTTATTTATATGTAACTCATATTTCCTTTTTTGCAGTACAAGCCCAACTGAAAGAGAAATACCCACAGACAGCTGATCGCATTATACTTATGGCTTTGGAGTCGGTCAACTACGCTGAGGATCGTGCCATACAAATTCTTCATATTGTGCAGGAGGAGGATGAGCTGTACGCCAGGAAACATGCCGCTGCTGCAATTGCGCTGACGTCAGCTGGCGGTGAAGCCGAAGTGCTTTTGGGTGCCAGTGGTATGCAAGGCACGTTGGCCGATAACAATGCAGCTGAGGATAAGTGAGTTCGATATATATTGTTTTTTTTTTTGTTTTTATTCTGATTTTGATTGGTGAGTGTTAATTTACATATGAGGAGAATATGTACCTCTGTTGTTTAATTTTTATGGATTGGTTTTTGGAGTGCGAAAAAGTGTTTTGAACTAATGCCCTCTCATCTTTCACAATAAATTTCCTGGTGTATGTTTTGTTTTCTTAATATATAGAATTCGAAGTTTTGCAATGAATTGGAAATGTATAAATAAGAAAATTACTTACAAAAAAAAATGTTTAATACATATTAATATTCGAAAAAATTATAGCCGACCCACAAGTTTTAACAATTTATTATATTGTTATTTAATCGTGGTTATTTTTTATAAAAATATAGTTAATTCTTTGACAAAACCCATGTAAATTCCGGTTTCAAACTTTGTGCGATATAAAAAAAAAAATCGACAAACTTTCGTAAAAATTTCGAGATTTCGTAAAAAGATTTTGTAGCCCATTGAATTCAAGTAGAATAAAGTACAAGTTTCAAATGGCTAAACATTACCGTTAGTTTCCTTCTAACGAATAAACACACTTTATGTTTACATATATAGAAGAAACATCTTCGACAAAAAAAAAACTAAAAAATTAACAGTAATTTTAAGCCATTAAAAAGTCGAGTTAAAAAGCTCGATATTTTTAAGTAATTTTGCTAATTTTTTTTAATATTGCACAAAGTTTGAAACTTGGATTTACACGGTTTTGTTAAAGAATGAACAATATTTGTTATAAAATAAAATAAAGTAAAATTAAATAACAAAAAAAAAATACATATATTAAAAACTATTTAATATGTGGTTCGGCTACAATTTTTTCGACCACTGTATGTATCTCAAAGATGTTATGAGGCTTTCAAACTAACTAAATTGCATTTATAATTCTTCTGTGTACATTAAACATTTCGGCAAGTGAAATTTATGCAAAATATTTATGATTTACATGCCTACATACATATTAAAAAATTAAAAGCAAAATTTGTTCACTTTCTCAAAGTTTTACGTTATTTATTTGTGAAAAATCTCATTTTATCTAATCTACGCTCGCTTTTTCGCTTTCATGTTTTTTTGTTTATTTCTTTCCCAATCAATATCCATTTAATTTACGCTAATAAATCCAAAATTATTTTTCCCCATCTAATAAATTCTTAACAAAATAAGCAGCATCATCACCGTTGTCCTCACAACATCGCCAAATACCTACAGCGACAACGTTAAAAGTCGCCATAATGCTTCTGCCAAAGATATTCCACATACAACCATATCATATTCATCACCATTAACATCATCAACAGCCACAACAACAACAACATCATCATCGTCATCGGCATCATCATCAGTACTACCGCTTTCATTAACTTCCAGCACCCTAAAATCCTCCACAAAAATCAATGCAATTCGCAACATTGGCAAAAAGGTAGCTTTTCCTTCCATTAATCTAACCACGCCCACTACGGCTACTACTCAGATAATACTCTCAAATTCGCCCACTTGCAATATTGAGCACAACGAAGAGCAACTATCAGCAGCAACATTCGCCACAAGCGATGCTGTTGATGCATTGAAAAACTCATATACAAATATAAGTTCATCAGCCACACAACCGACTCCCTCCATTTCACCGTCCGAAGCACTCAAAGAGCTTTGCATATCACATGAACCAACAGCAGCCTCAACATCGTTAACTGTGCCATCATCGCTGAGCACAGAGCCAGCTAAATATCAAACAATTACAACAAAGAGCATCCTGGCACGTTGCAATGCGTATGCCACTAGAATCCATGGATATCTGCATGGTACACCATGTAGCACCAAAACCTCGACTATAACTTCCGCTTCTACGCGTACTACCACGGCTTCTATTTTGGATAACTTGAAAGCGACACGCTTAAGCGAAAAAACCGACTCATTAAAGTACGCTGAGCTTAACTGTGAAGTGCTTGCAGAAACTATTGATCTTTTTAGAACTAATTTTCTTATTACTCTGAAAAGTTTTTATTATTTTTTGAATGTATCTATGGTTTTCAAATGTTTCATATTGTAATCTTGCCCTCGGCTAGAAATTTTAAATTTAGCATTTTTATTGCATTCTCGTGTGTTCAGCATCTCGATTTATTATTATTTTTTAATTATTTTACTTCTATTTAGTATATAGTATTTAGTTTTTGGCAATTTACTTTTCAGTTAAATTTTTATGTAAAATATTTTTGATAAGTAATAGTTCATTTCGACCAAGCCTTAACTGCAGTTTATGCCTATTGGAAAAAGGAGATTAAAACTTGAAGAGAGTGATTGCGCACAGTCAGTACAAGCCAATGAGCATGAAAAAGCAAAAAGTTAGAAAAAAAACATGCCGATGTTGAAATTCTTGGAACTTACCCCTGGGCGCTTAAATGCAGTTAGGCTTTGAGTGGAAATGGGCTATAAGAAACAATTTAAGTATTAAGTTAAAATATTTTAATTTTTCAAATAAGTAGCTGTTAATTGAATTTATTTAAACTCAAAATATTTAGTAATCTTTTAATTTCTATGTTCAGTTAACGCATAGAGAACAACTTATTGGGATCTTCAAAATATTTAAATTTGTCCCCAATCCTGGACAGTGGAAGGGAAAATACTCGCCGCTTTAAATTTTATTTTCATCTGGGCAGTCGCGACTGAAGTCGTTTGTAAGAAAGCCCTTTCTTCATGCGTGTATTCTATTGGGCAATGTCCAGTGATGATTCCAACAACCATACTGAGTTCAGGCTGTTCCAGGAGATTGAAGGTGCTGGACTTACATGTTGGCTGTATAGACCAACTTCTGTTTGCCATTACCAGGAAGTAGGTTTTAAGAATGAGGGCGTATATCCGCTTCATATCTGACCCACTGTGGCCGTGTCTTCGAACCCAAGTCATACTTGCAGTGTGCAGGCAGCTCATTTAGAATTTGTATGTATGTACATATGTCAATATTCGATAATTATGTATTTCAGAGGAAGTGAAGTACTTAGTATTATATATCTTTAGCGTCTTGATTGTCTGCGAATATGATTACTTCTGGCAGGTTAACATTAGTCCTGATTAACCACTGCGCGACTTCCTTAATACCTATCAGCTCGGCTTGAATAACTTTGCAGTGATCGGGCAATCGAGAGCATAGTTTAAGTAAAAATTCCCGGGAATAAACACCAATTTCTACTCTCTGCTCCAGACTGGAGTCGTCGGTGTATATGACAGTAGAGTCTAACTCTTCCATAAACTTCATGACTGTAGCTTCTTCCCATTTCTTTCTGTCTGGAAACTAGAATTTAGCAAGTCAGATGTCTAAAATTGTTGAGCGACAAGGCCCCCCGGCCAGAACTATAACACCGTGCGAAAAAAACCAAAAATTTTCAAAACACACGAAAAGATCAATATATTCACAAAACCTGCCCCCTAGGTGAAAGGATGGCTACGCCCTTGTATACAAAATATACGGCAGTTTGTTCTTTTAGAGCGCATACATGGTTCCATAGCACTTATTCCAGTATCTTCATTTAAGTATATTGTAACTATCAATATCTTATAAAGAGAAGTGTAAATTTTTTTTATCTAAAACTAATAAAGTTAGACGGAGGAAATTCGAGGATGTGGTAGTTAACATATTAGTCTTTGACATACATTTTTTTCAAAAATTAATATTGAAAGTTTCCAAGGATATTTAAGCATACATTTATTTAAATAAAAGGATATTTTCAATACTTATTCGTCCTGGTGCACCCAAAAGATAATTTTGTTTCTATTCTACATAACTTTTCCTTTTAATTGATACCCATATTGTTATTCTACAATGCACCGAATCTTTTGTTTATTTTTTTTATTCAATCATATTCTAGAAATTTCAAAGTCCCCTTAAAAAAAAATCCTGACGTCAGAGAGAAAAACTAAAAACGCAGTTATACTATATTTAGCCCCCAGTTTTGTGAATATTTTAATTTTTTCGTGTGTAAAATTGACTGTCGCACGGTGATATACTCGTTTTGTTGTTGTAATAGCATACAAATTCCCCTAAGTTTTTGGTTCCTTATCCTTGCAGATTTTTTTTTCCACATATCAAACTTCAAAACTTTTCAACGGAGTCTTAACTTAACCACTAAATATGAATAAAAGGTTAAATATAGAAATAAATAAAGTATAGAAATAAAGTGGAAGCCAAAGGGACAGACATAGACACTGACAAATATAAAGTTAAATCTAAATAAAAAGTCAAAGAAAAAAATTATATATGTAGATAAAGGTTGCGATAGAGATAAATATAAGATAATAAATAAATTAAAAGATAGTTATAGTGGCTGAGTGGTTAGATGTGCGTACCACCACTCCGTAGGACTTGGGTTCGTTCCCTGTTTCGAGAAATATTTAAATTAGAAAAAGTTTTTTTTCAAGCATTCGCCTCTCGGCAGGCAGTGGCAAACCTCCGAATGTATTTTTGCCTTGCAAAAGCTTATCATCAAAACTATTTGCCATTCGGAGGCGGCGTAGAATTGTAGGTCCCTGCATTTGTGTTATAACATTAGGACGCACACCACAAAGTGGAAGAGAAGTTCAGCAGAAACAAAGCAAAGGTGTGAGCGCCAAAATATTAGCTCTGATCCAGTACTCCACGAACTTACAGGATTTTACACGAACTTACAGGAAGTTACAGGAAAAATGATCCCGTACTCCAAATTCTTCAAAAATCCTGTAAATGAGAGCTATTTTTGGAGAGTTGTGTAGGGAATGAAGTTGCAAGATTTTACCCCAAGTTTTTCTTCTGGTAAAATCATGAAAAGTGTCAAGCGATAACTGGTTGACGTGTTTACAGGAAAAATGCTTTTTATGTTGCCCTACTTTTTGTTGTTATTCACTTTTTACTCTCACTTCAGAGAGTAATTTTGCTGTCAGACATTTTTACAGGATTTTACTCGAAAAGTATTGGATCAGAGCTATTATTATTCATAAAGATAAAAATGAAGTTAAAGATAAACTTAGAGATAAAGATAAGATATAGATAATGATTAAGATAAAGATAAGCACAAGGAAAATAGCAGAGATAAATATAGTAATAAAGATAAAGTTTAAGTTTCATATGAGACAGAGAAAAAGATAAGGATTAAGAGAAAGATAAATATAAAATACAAAAGTAATAGATAGAGCCTTTCTGCACATACTGTTGTTCAATATAGCATTTTATTTTAACAAAGCACATTTTAGTATAACCGTTAAATAAAAAAAAAAATGATATTTGCAATTTATGTATATTTTTAATTCTTTCTTTCAAATTATTTGCATGGTTTTACTTCCTAACTCCGCTCATCTACTCGTTAAGCATTTGATCGTATTTTTCTGTATGTGTGTTTGTGTTTATTATGTATGTATAATTAATTTTAGATTTATTTCGTTTTTTTTTATCCAATCTACGAGTTTACGGCTGAATAATATTTTTTTTATTATCATCCAATAATCACAGAGCACTACAAAAAGATTCTGTAGACAAGCTAAGTGACTTCAAACAACGTAAAGAGTTCGATTCTATCCTAGGACGCATCACTACAACTGGACATAGCGCAGAATTGGCCAAAGGTGCCGATGAGAGTCTGCTGCTGTATGTTATATACGATTTTGTAAAATTTGCATGTTCTTCAGTTCCCATTCCATTTTTTTTGTTTTTTTAGAGCTGACTATGTTACCTGGAATGGTGCGAATCCAGACATGCCACAAGGCAACAATCAAAAGCAATTGGCAAATGGTCCAGATGCTAGCAAGTTGTGTGAACGCACATATAAACCTATGGGACGTAATCCAGAGCTATGCAAGGGCGCACAAAAGGGACTAGCTAAAGGCAGTATTTATGCACAACTCGCTGCGTCTGGTAATACGAATACAGCAAATATTAAATGCAACTGAAGGGATATAAATTAATGATAAAGATACTATATCTATGATTCTAATACCATATAAAACTATAATATTTACTTTACTATTTATGTGTGCCAAATGTAGTGTAAACTCCATGTGAATACTTTCAGACGTACTATCGCAAACAATTTTAACTTGCATTTGTGTTAACTCGTCTATTTACGAAGTATTCAATCTCACTTTTATTAAATTAAATTAATTTCCACCAAGCCTTAACTGCAGCTTTTACCTATTGGAAAAAAGAGATTACAACACGAAGAGGATAATTGGTCATATTAAGTACAAGAAAACGAAAGTAAAAAAGCAAAAATTAAGAAATAAAATTTGAGGGTTATCCTATGTTAAAATTCTGGGAACTAACCTGAGATCTTAACTGCATTAAGCGTTCGGTGGAAATGAGGCATAAGCATCTAAAACAACCACAAAATGTGCGGAATATATGTACGTAATTTGAAACTAAAAATGCATTAAATTAAGAACAAAAGTAGATGGAAAATATTTAAATATATGTTGTAATTGTAAAATTGTATGTAGACCTTTAGTACTCAAGTATGTAGAGAGGAAAAGATTTCAGAAGAGCGTATATTTTTTCGAATAAATCTGTATTTTTAATAAGGAGCTGGAATTCATTGAAGTTTTACTGTGAAGATTACTTTAGATCATTTACATATATTTCATTTCCCAATGCCTTAACCGTAGTTTATGCAATTGAAAAAAATACAAGCAAACGAAGGAAACAAGTAATTTTTAGCAAAAAAAAACCGACTTTAAAAAAATATATATATATGTATGTATATATATTTCATGATCCAATGATCGGATCTAAACCAAATTAGTATGGGACCACCTCTGAGACACTCTCTTGCAAAAAGAATTATCGAAATCGGTTGACGTGGTCCAAAGTTATGCGGTAACATACATAAAAAAAAAAAAATATTCCGACGAACTGATAACCTCCTCCTTTTTTGGAAGTCGGTTAAAAAGTAAAAAGTAAGGAATAAGTCTTGCTTGATCACCTCATTTCAAAATTCTTGGAACTTAGCTCAGCTGGTAACTGCAGCCAAGCTTTTGGTGGAAATGGGCTTCAAATGTTTTTCTAAATCATAAAAAAGGTAAGTTGATTATATGGTTGTTTTGAAAAAATTCGGCAGAGGACATCAGAGCTGGATCGGCCAGCATCCTAAGTTGCATTAAACTAAAAAGCACTACACATTAGAAACCAATTAGAATTTAACGTTAGAAAACGATTAGATATCTAACATCTTTCTTGATAGGGACTAAGTCCTTTTTTTGTAGAGAATGCTATAAATCTCAAAAGTTTCTCTAATGGTCTTCTAAACTTCTACCTTCTACCGAATTTCCACTAGGCTTTGAAATTACAAAAAATTGGAGGCATTTAAAAAATGCCATGTGGAAATAAATTTAATTACCTTTTTTTAACGTAATGACACGAATATTTTTTTAAGTCAAATTTTTTCAATAAAATGTTTGCCTTTTATGCCTGGTGGTAATCCAGCGTTAGAGAAACACATTAGAATTCAAATCGTTTTCTAATCGCTTTCTAACTTAAATGTTTGTAGGATACTAAAAATGTACATATCGCTCGTTTACTTCAGTAGTGTCATAATCCTAAATATACAAATTTTGATTTGAGTATGCGGAAATTACTTCTACCTCTTCTATGTTATGTGAAAATTTCATAGCTGTATCGATTACCAGTATCTCACTAGAACAAAATATGTATTCATTTTTACTATGGGAGTATATGTAAATACAAAACTTTAAAGTCGTTTTTCTGGAGAGGGGCTTCTTTGAGTTATGACACTATTGAAGTAAATGAACGATATGAGCGAATTTAATACCTTTTATAGTGAATTAAACATTTTTCAATAAATAATAAAAGCGAACTCTAATTTGCAGGATCATTACCTATCTTAAAACAACTCAAAAACCAATCTCTTTTAGATAACTAAACTTTCTTTCATTTAGAATATTTAAAAATAACTTAATATACACATTTAAGTAAAAGAAACATGGGGTGAGCAGCCACTTATGTACTTATGTATATCTTAAACCTCATCTTCATTTAGTAACATATTTGGTATACCCTCTGTTATAGGGAAAATACGCCCCGTTTCGGGACACTCCAATTGCCCTTCAAGCACATCGATTTCGAGTAGCAAATGATGGAGTTTCTTTAACAATTCTTCATTCTCAGCAATATTCGTGGGTTGTTCGGCGGGAATGTCATCACCCAAGTCAACCTAGTGAAAATAATAATACAGTAAGTTGCAAAATTTACAATATTCTCAACCGACTTACCACTTCCGCAGCCAAACGTATTGCTGACCAATCCAGTCGAGGAAGTAACCGTTCTACGAATGTGGGATTGAATTCGCTTTCAATAATGTCTTTTTTTGCAATCTGCAAAAAAATAGCATTGAAAAAATTGTGGAAAAATTAAAAATAGTTTCCTTTCCACGACATGTTTTGATCGGTGTATACAGTATTCTAGTGGCATATGCACTGCTGCGATAAACATCTTACCGTCAACTTTAGCGGAAATCCAACCTTCACACCTTTTATGGCTTTAGATGTTAGAAAGTTATAGGTACTAAGCCTCATATTGTTCTTTTATATTAATATTATAAATTGTTAATAACAAATCGTCCACGTTCTTAAACAAATGCACTCACAGTGCTGCCATGCTGCTAAAGATTCATTAGAGAGACCCAACGGCTTTTGAAACACAGCCGGGTACACACGGTTGCATTTATCTCAATATGAAATGCAATTTGCAAATGTGAGGTAGTAAATAACTAAGTTATTTTTTTTTAGTTTTCTCCTCCATGTAGAGATTATCATTATTTATTCCAAGTATTTTTATACGTAATGTTTTTTTTTTATTTTCATACAGGCTCTGCAGCCTGTTCCAATGTTTATCAACATTAGAGCTGTAAACGTAACGAAAATTTGGATACCCGTATGTATTCGTTACTAATCCAATCAACAGCGTAAGAAAATGTTCGTTCGTACATATGCATGCATGGACATATACATACATATATACACGCAAAACACTTTAATATCAATATGAACAACAGTTTGGTTCCCGCACAATGTTGTGTTGTATTGATTCGCGTTAATGGTGCAAATAGGGAAAATGCGGGTAACGAGTTTATTGTGAGTAAAAATATGTTACTTCGAGTCAGGGGTTGTACCTGTTCCTCAGTACCGAATGCATATGGTTTGCTACATCTCTAATCAACACTCATAGTAGCAAATACTCAAACCGGATACATATCGTCGCCTCAGAAAACGGATGACGAATGTGCATTAGAATGATGTCGTTCCCACGACAGTCGGGTCTACGTAACCGGAACGACCCAGATTTATATCTGGCCAAGGACTGTCACTCCAGCAACACTCCCCAAAAAGTCTTTGGGGAATTTGTATGCTGCTACAACAACAACAACAACAACATGGGAAAATGGCAAAATCGCTTTCTGCGATGCAAATGCCCACTCTATACTTCCTGTAGTACATTCCAGATGCCAGAGAAAAAATAGGTTATCACCCTATACTTCCGGTAGTGCATTCCAGTGATTTTCGGTAGTGCATTCCAGTGGAAGTTTTTGATCTGTCCCTGTTCTGACATTCATCATTCCTAAATTCGCCTTCTTTGCAACCAATCTGTTGAATTTCTTTAGTAATTTGTTTAAAAAAAGCGCTTTAAAATATACTTTAGTGTGTTATTAATACCTGATTCGAATTTTGTGCACTTATATTGCTTTAAAAATTAAAATTCAGACTTTTGTGCCGGAAAATGGAGGATATATTTCATTGGTGTCGTGAGGGAAACTCGATACAAGTGCGTCTGTGGCTGGAAGATACGGGCAATGATATGAATTTGGGGTAAGAAAACAAAAGTATATACATAGGGTATTTAAAGAAATTTCTCATAAACCTTCTTGGACAAAGTACCAATAATCTCAGCGCTTGGCAAATATTGCGCAAGGCTGAATCCGAAATGATGAGTGACGTCATGACGAATTCTTGATTGCTTTGAAAATCTGTATAAACATTTGCATATCAAAAAGCGCAACAACAAAAACGTATCCAGTGGCAGATGGTGAGATGTGTAACCTTCGCCTGATTCAAGAGAATTTAAATACACATACATGCCTACATATGTATTTATGCATATACATTATACCAGAGAACGTTCTTTGATTATACACATATCTAATGCTTGTATGTGAAGCGCAGAATTAAAATTAAATATGTAAAAACAGTTCGAAAATTTTTAATATTGCAAATCCTTAATTTTTAATAGAACTTACAATTCTAATAGCTGGCGTACATAGTGCTTTTTGAAGCCACAATGTTCAACCAAAGAGTTTTGCAAAATGAAATCTTTCGAATGAAGCCAATTAACCTAGCGGGGCTCATTAGCTTCCGGTCCCATCATCGTCTGATGTCACAATGTATTCCCTAAAAGTCTGTTTTTGATTGTTACTACTGCTTAAATAATAATAAACATTTCCTGGTCATCATTATTTTAGTGATGATCATGGCTTCAGTCCTCTTCACTGGTGCGCCAAAGAGGGTCACACAAAATTAGTAGAAACTCTAATACAACGTGGAGCACGCGTTAATGCCACCAACATGGGCGATGATATTCCGCTACATCTGGCTGCGGCACATGGACATCGGGACATTGTGCAATTGGTGAGTTCGATTGCATATTAAACATTTCTTTTTCCCAATTATAATTCGCTACATATTTTATCCATTTAGCTAATTCGCGAGCGCTCTGATGTCAATGCTGTAAACGAGCACGGCAATACACCACTGCATTATGCTTGCTTTTGGGGCTATGATATGATTTGCGAAGACTTAGTAAATGCTGGCGCACTCGTTTCCATCGCCAACAAGGATAATGATACACCATTGGATAAGGCAAAGGCTGGCTTGTCAAAGCGTTTGCACGACTTAGCTGAACGTAACGGTCATGATATTAAAAAGATAAGCTTTAAGGAGCAAAGTTGGTTGGGTACAAAAACCCGTTCACGCGATGCTACACTCTCCCGTTTTAAGGGTATCAATTTGGGCGAATTAGATTTACACACGAAAATCGCAGTAACACCATCTGGCGAGACTTGGCGTGGACGTTGGCAAAAAAATGATGTTATTGCAAAGGTAATGGCGACATACTTGCAACAACAGTATATAATAAGTTTAAATATAATACTTTCTGTTTTAATTACAGATCTTAGCCGTTCGCCAGTGCACTGCACGTATATCGCGTGATTTCAATGAAGAGTTTCCTAAGCTCCGCATTTTCTCACATCCAAATATACTGCCAATAATTGGTGCTTGCAATCAGCCGCCAAATCTAATTACAATTAGCCAAGTAAGTGGAGTACATATAGCTGAAATGTTTAAATTGTTTTTGAATGCACGTAAATTGGTACTACCATATATTTTTATAAAGTTTTATAAAGCACCCCTAAAAATCCCATCAAGCTACGCACACGCATGCCCCCTTATATGTATGTATGCATATGTATTGATCATTTTTATACCGTGTTCACATAAATTTTTAAATAATTCCCATGTGTACATACATATATGTATACATACCTGCTCATCTCATAACTCTGCCTGACTAAGTTTACTTTGATATCATAGTTTGTACATAATCACAGTTATTGGAACTAAAGCAGACCCATCGTAACCAAAGAAATTTTGGTTTTT